TTCACTTTGTAGGTTCATAAACTCTTAGTTTTTTATTAAGCTCAATCTTTCATAACTCTTCTGAATTGATTTACTTTGAATCTGTTTATTTGCCATCTGTGGCCTTCTGTTCTCGTCTGTCTTCAAGTTTTTGATTTCTTATTGCTAAAATGCCTGGAATTGTTCTTTGTCATATCCGCTTTCTGTTGCTAGCATCATGCCTGGTTCATTACTTTCTTGTTCTTCATATACTTACCAATTTTACACTCCTATCAATGTGAATGTTAACATGTCAATGTGAATATTCACATTGTCAACGGGCCGGGCCGGGCCGGGCCCGCCCTGGGCGGCGGGCGAGCTTTTGGCTGCCCATGGGCCATGGGCCAATTTTATACTCTTATCAATGTGAATGTTAACATGTCAATGTGAATATTCACATTGTCAACAGGCCGGGCCGCCCATAAGCCGTGGGCAGGTTTCGAGCAGCCACGAGGCGCGGGCTAATTTTACACTCCTATCAATGTGAATGTTAACATGTCAATGTGAATATTCACATTGTCAACGGGCCGGGTCGGACCCGCCCTAGGCCGCTGGCTAATTTTATACTCTTATCAGTGTGAATGCTAACATGTCAATGTGAATATTCACATTGTCAACGGGCTGGACCGGGCCCGCCCAGGGCCGCCCATGGGCCACGGGCGGGTTTCGCGCCGCCACGGGACGCAGACCAATTTTACACTCCTATTAATGTGAATGTTAACATGTCAACGTGAATATTCACATTGTCAACGGGCCGAGCCAGTCCCGGCTTGCGAGCGGGTTTCGGGTCCACGGGTTAATTTTACATTCTTACCAATGTGAATTTTAAAATATGAATGTTCACATCATAAAATTACTAACCGTTTAAAAAATATTTATAAGGATATCAAAATTAAATATAAGGGTATAAGTGTCCAAAAAAATAGTGTAAATCAAGAAAAATAATTTTATGAAATAAAACTATACATAAATAAGACTAAATGGATTAAAAAGTTTTTTCATGAACTTCTCAAATTAAAATACTTTTAAATAAGGTTTATCAATAATTTTTTTTTTTTATTACTAAAATCTTAAATTTCCAAAGGAGGTTAGATATCGTGAAACACATCAAATAATATTCAAATGTGAATATGATGAATCAAAGTTGGGTTATCACAAGGCTCTTGTAAAATATCTTGAATAATTTATATGAATAAAATTTAAAAAGTAGAAGATCAAAATAATTAAAATCAGAACCATAGACTTTTTTTAAAACAACACAGTCCCCAAAGTTCACACTCAATCGCGATCAACTTCAATAATTTGAACCCAAGGCATTGTGCCATTGTGGTAAGATTTTGGGGTTTAAGTTTTAAGATTATAAGTTTAATTTTTTTTTTGGATTAATTTTCAGTGCAAGTCTTGATTTAATTGAAGCTTATTTTAAGAAGTCAAAATAAGTTTTTAGGTTATAATCTCTTATTCAGAACGGAGAACAAGACACTCTAATGATCTCTTTATGGGATGCTGCCTTGAACTTGTGAGAGGGTAGGAGGATTTCCCTGTATAAAATTAAAAAACAAAAAAAAAAACTTCAATAATTTGCCCCTTCCTATATAAAGAACAAGCAACAACTTCGAAGAAACCGTATGCCGAGAATTTTCTACACCATTTGGACTAATAAATCTATTAAAATCGAAGCAAGTTGAAGCCGACGCAAAGTGAGAGAGATGAAGGGGTGCGAACTGTGCAGATATCCGGCGAGGATATACTGCGAAGCGGACGGAGCGAGTTTGTGTTCGCATTGCGACGAGAAGGTTCACTCTGCCAATTTCCTCGTAGCTAAGCACTCCAGGTGTCTCCTCTGCCATGTCTGCCAATCTCCTACTCCATGGAAAGCCTCTGGAACGAAGCTTGGCCCCACTGTTTCCGTTTGCGACACTTGCGTTCTTCTTAACTGTAGTGGTAAACAGGGGAGAGGTCCAGAGGGAGATGAGGAGGCGGTCCATGGAGGGAACGAAAATGACGAGACTGAAGATGATTTTGAAGGTGAAGATTACAGTGATGATGATGAGGATGGTAGTTATGGCGACGATGAGGAAGACGGAGATAATCAAGTAGTACCTTGGTCTTCTATTCCGCCGCCGCCGCCGCCTCCTGTTGCCAGTTCTTCCAGTAGTGAAGAGGTGTCTTCCTGGCGAAGAATCTCCTCCGCCGGTGCCAGTGGCGAAGGTGTCTCCTCATTGAAACGAACGCGACAGAATGCAGATCTTGATTCTGATGTGCGTTCTCTCTCTCTCTCTCTCTCTCTCTCTCTCTCTCTCTCTCTCTCTGACTCTGATTAGTTTCAAAATCGGTAACCTAAAATATTTCATTTGATACTGGCAAACAGGATGAGATTGGGTCGACGTCTTCGCGATTCAACCATAACATTCCGTTGGTGGTGGCGAGCTGTCAAGCATTAGAGAATGATGAAGCCACTTCCTCTGTCTCCCGTAGATCACTGAAGGTGCTACGAAGAACTAGTGAAGCGTTTGAATCACAGAGAGTCCAAGAAAGTAACGAAACAGAGTCAAGATCGTCGGTGGCGATGATCCTAAACTCGCTCAGGGAACTCCAGCAAAACACGATCTCCGATGATGAGAACCCGTCCACTATGGTCCTTCAAATCTGCAGGCTAAGCAGAGATCCTATCTGTTTTTCACCTATTCCTTCCAGCAATGGAGACAAAAGATCATAAGTTGTTGTAACTTGTTTAAGTCTTTAAATTTGAGCCCTAGTTTATTCCTCTGAACCCTACCTAACTTTGTGCAAATTATGATTAAATTCTCATACTAATTTTCTTTTTTCTGGTTATATTCAATTCTGATAATGGATATATTCATTTTGTTTGGAATAATATTAGAAATTATGAAAAAAATATTATGAAATGTAGCACCAAGATTTTTTATCATTTGATTAATGTGTAATATTTTATTGTACGTATAATGTAAAAATAAATTTTTTTTTTTATGATTATCTTCATAATATTTATGATTTAACAAGGTCATTGCTGAAGCCGAACGCCTCTGATCACAAGTGCTTTGGGGCAATGGCAACTCTTGTGGAGAAATATCGTTCAGAGTTGTTACATATAATTGAAATATTTCACTGCTATTCTTTAAATTTTATATGATTTTTATGTGGCATGATATATAAGAGATCTTCTATTTTTATGACCAGTTTACTCACATCAACAAATAGTTATTTAAAATTGAAAATTTGTTTAAAACCTATGATCACTTGATAATTAAAAACTGTTAATTTTAAATTTTGATGATGTAAATTACAATTTTATGAAATAAAATAAGAAAAACTCCATATGTATTTGGTTTGTGTTTTGAGATAAAATTTTAAAAAAAAAATTTAAGGAAAGAGTTTATAATTTTTTTTTTTGGTTTGTTTAGTTATATATTATAAAAGTAGTTTTGGAGTTTAGGAATTTATAATGATTTGATATTTTGTTATAATTGAATAGATGTGTGTAAATTAAGAAAAGGGTGGAGAGAAAAAAAAATGATTGATTGACATGTAATAAAAAAGGAAGTAATTTTAAAAAAATTTATAACCAAATATTTTTTAAAAAAAATTCTTTAAAAAACATATTTCAAAATATGAAAAATGAAATAGAGAGAGGAACCAAATACTAGTGGCTATATGGTGAAGTTTGAATTCAAAAATGGCATGATGAGGGCTGCACAGATTGGGGCTGTGAGGGAAGCGGGAGCAGAGAGAGAGAGAGAGAGAGAGAGATAGATGAAACTATTGCGTGGTCATTATTTTGCAGCTTTGGAACATGTGGCTCTCATTTATGATGAGTCAGTTGAAGTCATCAACAATGAAACAGAGGAGGTTTTCGATGTACAAATAAAGTAATTTTGAAAAAATAAAGAGAAAGGGCATAATCAAAGTAATTTTGAAAAAATGAAGAAAGGGCTTAGTCAATTACACAATTCTTGGCCACAAAGCAAACCACTGGCGTCATTTCAAATGGGTTGGGGTTGGTTACCATTAGTTCTATATTAGGTGACAAGAACAGAATATGGAGCTCACTCTCTCTCTCTCTCTATCATGTTGGCCAAAACAGAAAATGGATTTGATTCTTCTCTCTCTCTCTCTCTCATGTGGTTGGAGAGTTGTTGGTTGGGCTTACTTTATTCATCATTTTCCTTTGGTCTATAACAACACGGAAGCAACAGCAGAGCTTACTATTGTAATCGTCCCTTTCTTCATTGCGTTTGTCCAAACATACAGCGGGTTTCATCGCCTCTAATAACAATAACATAATCCCCATCAATTCAAGCAGGCAATGCGTACAACCCACGCTGCTATTTCCGTACAGCCTTCTAGAGTGTGATTCATTTATTTGTTGATTTTTGCTTTGCTCTACCCATTCAAAATGTTTGCATTATGGTTTGTAGAAAAAAATAAAATAATGAATGAAATATAAATTATTTTTTGAGAGAGGGATTTTGTGAGCCGGAGCCAAATTGGGTCCAGGAATAGTGATGGACCGAGCTATGGGCCAAGCAAGGTCCAAAGTATAAGAATTAGCCGGGCTGTGGGCCGATGTGATTGGGTTCTGTGACCTGGATCCCACTTCTGCCTCCGTTTGGGAAGTGGGTTGGCTTTTTGGCTTTTTGGCTTTTTGGCTATTTTAGCCTGGGCTATTTTAGCCTGGTTTGGGAAGGGCTTTTGGCTTTTTGGCTTTTTTGGCTTTTTTTGTGAGAGAGGATTGTAATGATTATGAGTTGGATTTGATGTTTTGTTTTTTGTGGCTAAAATAGCCTATTTTGTTTTTTGTGGCTATTTTAGCCAAAAAAGTCTGGGCTTTTTCTTGCCAAACGGAGGCAGTTATCCCAATCAGAGGCAGTTGTAGATTAGCTCTGTCTCGGTGGTAACGAACCGAGGTATAGGTACCGAGCTAAGCGTTGCACATAGAAGCGTCGAGTTATGTATGTCGAAGTTCATGGGTTAGCTCGGTCATACTGAGGTTTTACCGCGGTATAACCATCTCCCTTGAGTAAATAGTGGGAAGGGTGTAGAAAGATGAGCATTACCTTTCTAATTCCTAAGAGGACTCTGCTAAGGAGAGTAGAGTCCCACTAGGATTGTGCAAATCATCTCACTTGTTTAGTAGTGAGTAGGGTGAGTGATTTCTAGGAGGATTCTTATGAGAAAGAGTTGGAATCCTACTAGGAGTGTGCCAAGCGGAATCTATAAAATAACAGGACCTCTGTACAGGTATCATAACTTCGATTCTCGAATATACAGAGTTTTTTGCCTATTTTTCTGACTTAGGCATCGGAGAGGTATCCGACACATACCCGCCGGCTAGCTCGCGTTTTGTGTTTTCAGGGAGTAAAGTGACGACGTTCAGAGGAAGCGCAAACTTGATCAACAGGATTATACGATAAGATTATTTTGCGCTCGTACAATTGGCACCGTCTGTGGGAAGTCCATAAAAAACAAAACTTCTTGATCAAACTTTTCTCTCTAGTTGAAAGCAATGACGCATAATGAAGACTTGTCGTAATCGGCCATTGATGGGCAAACCCCGGAAGGGGGTGGGAGGCGCGAAGGTTTGCCTTATATCCCTCCCATGACGGATTTAGAACCCCAGCGACGGAACTCCCGGAGGGACGCAAGGAAGAGATGGGGCACTAGCCCCCGTCGCTCTCAAAGTCCTAATAGACAGAGGCAGAGGCTGGATCCTCAAGTTCTGGAGGATCGCGTGAAGGAGCAGGACGAGTTAATTAGGAAGATGGCGGCAGACATGGAGACAATGAAGTGCCAGATAAAAGGAAAATGGGTGGCGACAGGAGAGGGGCACAAAGGCAACACGCCCTCTCACCACTTGGAGGATCGTGATAGGCATACCACACTATCACAAGCACAAAGTAGGAGCCTTAGAACAGGCGACACTCAATCAAGGACTTCCAGGATTCGTCACTTCAGGTCTGAGAGAACGAGGACTGAAAGGTCTTATACAGAGGAAAGCAACTATTACCGCTCGCACACGCACCAGACGACATCCAAGCACACGGAATTGCCTAGGTCAGCGGACTTACGGTCGGTACTCGAGGAGAAGGCCCGACGGAAAGAGGACTCCAGGGCCCGCGACCCCCGCAGGATTTCAGCCCTACAGCGATTGGCCCCTAGGACACATAGAAGTGTCGAAGTAGGAATGCCAATGCCTCGCCTTGCTTTCGAACCAGCGGATAAGGTATTAGCGAGGTTGCAGAGCTCACCGTTCGTTCCGGCGATAGAGGATGCACCACTACCTTCGGGCTTCCACCAGCCCAAATTCACCACTTATTAGGGGAAGACGGACCCTACATGCACTTGAGCCACTTTCGCTAGGTTATGGCAGTATACCGGCGAAATGAGGCCCGAATGTGCATCCTGTTCCCATCCAGCCTTGGCGACCTAGGTCTAACCTGGTTCGAAAGGCTACCAGAAGGCAGCATCGCCTCCTGGGCACAATTGACAGAAGCGTTCGTGACTAGGTTTAGAACGAACACCAAGACACCAGTGGAGATCGATCAGCTACTCTCCATTGACATGGGCGATAATGAGACGTTGAGATCCTACAACGGTCGATATTGGGAGACTTTCAACCAGATAAGAGATTGCTCCACAAATCTCGCCATTGCGTAATACAAAAGGGGTCTATCAGTCGAAAACAAGTTGAGGGACTCAATTATTATGATGCCACCCCTCACGATGGAGGCCCTAATGGAGAGAGTGCACCAACATATCCGCGTAGAGGAAGATAGCGCTCGGGCTAAAGCAAAATCTGGCTCAACAGTAATGTTAAGCAAAAAGACTGCAGCAAAAGTCAGCACGGTAGAACAACCAAACAGGAATGGGCGAGGCAGGCGAGCCAACAGGGAGGACCCAAAAAAAAGGAGGTTAAGAGTTCGCACTGCCATCACCACCATGTTCAATAAACCTATCTACCGAATTCTCAGCGAGATAAAGAATGAACCCTTCGTTCGGCGGTCAGCCAAGTTGGGAGTAGCACAAAAGGGCTACGACGAGAGGTCCCGCTGCACCTTCCATGATGAAAAGGGGCACTTAACTGAAAATTGCACACCCCTGAGGCAACATCTGGAAGAATTAGTAGCTGCTGGTCACCTAGACTAGTATATTGAAGGGGAAACGCAGCCAGCCCCCCAGGACCTCAACGGGCCAAACGGGATGCCGGTGGACGGACCACACCAAGGCAAAATCAATGTTATTCATGGAATCATTGAACGTGAGCGAGTATGTGAACTCAGGAGGATGATAAAGAAGGCAGAGCACCTGAATGAGGTACTAAGTACACAACCCGCCATAAAAAAGGGCAAAACAGAGGCTACGAACGTCATATCCTTCTCAGACAAGGACCTAGCAAGGTTACATTGTCCTCACAATGACGCACTGGTGGTTGTTCAATAAACCTATCTACCGAATTCTCAGCGAGATAAAGAATGAACCCTTCGTTCGGCGGCCAACCAAGTTGGGAGTAGCACAAAAGGGCTACGACGAGAGGTCCCGTTGCACCTTCCATGATGAAAAGGGGCACTTAACTGAAAACTGCACACCCCTGAGGCAACATCTGGAAGAATTAGTAGTTGCTGGTCACCTAGACTAGTATATTGAAGGGGAAACACAGCCAGCCCCCCAGGACCTCAACGGGCCAAACGAGATGCCGGTGGACGGACCACACCAAGGCAAAATCAATGTTATTCATGGAATCATTGAACGTGAGCGAGTATGTGAACTCAGGAGGATGATAAAGAAGGCAGAGCACCTGAATGAGGTACTAAGTACACAACCCGCCATAAAAAAGGGCAAAACAGAGGCTACGAACGTCATATCCTTCTCAGACAAGGA